TGATCACGCAGTGGACTGGCCTCGCCACTCAGCGCCTCAATGATCCGACGCCGCCGCTGACGGATCGCTCTCTCCAGCGAACGCTACCCGACGCCGCGGTCGCCGGGGCCGCGCGCTCTCGGGCGCCGGGCGCCTGGGGGCAAGAGCTGCCGGTAGCCGTTATATGCCGTTATGCTTCTTACTCGCCTGAACGATTTCGCCGCGGCAGTAGAACCCCATGCTGACCCAGCTCTCCCCAGCCCCAGGGGCGTCGAGGTGAAAGATCTCGCGCAGCGTCTCAGCGCCGGCGGCGCCCGGGCGCGGCCGCGCGCCCAGCGCGCGCCTGATCTGAGACCGTCAGTTTTGCGCCCCCCCGGCCCCGCGCGCGACCGCTGACGCCGCGGTCGCCCGGGTCTGGCGTTATCGGGCGCCTGGCGCCCGAGACCAAGAACTGCCGGTGGCCCTTGTGCTTCTTCACCGCTCGCGCGCCGGCATCGCGGTGGATCTCCCCCCTGGCCCAACTTCCCCCGGTCGGGCCGACGAACCTTGACTGGCGTTGCAGCGTTGAAATCGCGCGGGCGCCGCGGCGCGCTGACCTCCGAGCTTGGCCGCGGAATGCTCACAGGCACCTGTTGCGCCTCAATGCCTGGCGGGGCCTGCGCGCGCTTGGCTCGGCGCGCGCCGGCGCTGACTCAGACGTCTGGTCGCGCGGGCCTGCGGGCTCCGTCTGGGGCCTGACTCGCCAGGGCAGGGGGCGCGGCATTGCTCTGGCTGACTAGTTACCTGATCCCGACGGCGCCGACGGCGCTAACGGCGCTGACGATGAAGCGAGCCTCAACGGCTTGAGCCGCGGCGCATGAGCCACGGCCACAATCGACCAGCAGCCCATCGGGGCCCCTGTCTGCGCATCTCTTAGAACGCTGACACGGGGCGCGCATTAAAATCATCCTGACCCCCCCCCCTCCAAACCACCGACCTCTCGCGAGTCCAAAGCCGCCTTCCTCTTCCTTCCCCCCGCCCCCGCCCTATGCGATTATCAATGGCACCCTTAATGCAAAATGTTCGCCGACCGCCCCGGGGGGGGCCCATCCCGGGGCGCCGCCACCGCCTCGCGCGGCGCGATCTTCGGCGCCGCAAGACCGCGAACACACAGATTCCCCATCCGCGAGAAATCGCACCAGGAGCGCGGGAAATGATCAATTTCCGCCATCCCACGAAGAGGCGTAAACATCGATGAATCACAATAAATACTCAGAAACTCGCTTAAGGTAAAATTTGCCTAAAAAATATTGGTCGGACGACTAATGAGTAGCGTTGCAACGCTGTCGCAATAATATACAACCCGTGGGTTATATGTGATGTCCGAGGAAATATTCGTAATATTGTCGGTAAAAGTATTCGCATTAAGTACTAGTGCAGGATCACTATTCGAAACGAGCTGGGACCCGAAATTCCCGTGCCCCCTCTCCGAACCGCCCCTGCCCCATGCGATTCTCATTCTCACCCCTAAATTAGACGCGGATTTTCGTCGGCCGCCCTGGGGGGCGGCCCGTTCTAAGACATCGCGCCCACCCCGCGCGGGGCAATGCCTGCAGCACTGCGGAGCCGCGAAAAGAAACGCCCCCGCCCGCGAGACCTCGTGGGAGCGCGAAGAAATTATGTTCCGCCATCCGGCGAAGCGGTGACATCATTTCTCAATGGGTGCATTGATATCCACGAGACATGATTCGAAAAATGATAGTAGTACGAATGAATATGATTGGTGTTCCAATGCAGACGTGATAGTGGTCGCAGTGGACGATATCGAGTACACGATGGCATATCCAGATCAATGTGATATAGCAGTGGTATTAAGTAGAAGTGCGGTAAAACTCCTCGAGAGGAGCTTGAACCCGAAGTTTCCTCACCCCCCTCCGAACCGCCACCGCCGCGCGCGGTTCCTGTTGCAACCCTAAATGAGACATCGATTTGCGTCGGCCTTCCTACGGGGCGGTTCACCCCTGGGCATCGCGCCCGCCCCGCACGGAGCGTTGCCACTTGCGCCTGGGAGCGCGAAAAAATATGCAATGCCGGCCAGTCGGCGACGCGGCAGAAGCATTTCGTAGTAGCTATCATCGTAGAACAGCAACACCGCCAGCAATAATGACAACTACCAGAATCAGATACGCTAGTAGAACTGCTGACGATACTTATATGTTGCAGTGGCAGTAGAAATCAGAATAGCAGTGGCAATAGTAGTAGCGGCAGAAGTGAAAAGGAATAACGACAGACGCAGTTCCAATGATCAATGCATTCGCTAGAGGATAGCCGCAATACAAGTAAGGGCGCCTGAAATGTCGTGGGCGCCTGCGCGCGCGAGCGATCGGGTGGCCCGCGCGCGGGCGGGTCACCCGAGAGCCCGTTGCTCGCTGCGAAGGGTTCACTTAAATCCCAAGGCCAACATAGCGAAATTATAATTGCAGACGAGTGCAGAATTCATCGCTCGCGCCCCCGCGCGCGCGCTCGCGCGCAATCGGGCGACCGCGCGCGGGCGGGCCACCCGGCATCCGGCTGGTCACCGCCAAGGGCTCACCTCAGTTTCAGGGCCAGCGTGGCGAATT